TGTCCTGGGCCCTGGTGGGACCCAGGGCAGTTGTCATTGTGGGGCATGATGTATTATCAACATACTAGAGGCCCAGTGCACAACATTCATGCACTGGGGTGGGGGGGAGGGGACCCCTTGGTGGATCTCCCCCGAGGGGCCCTTAGGGCTGCCCCGGAGCCAGGGCTCCCACCACCACCACCACCACCACCACCACAGTGCTTGCCAGCTGTGATCCCAGCTTTTGGCTGAGCAGCCCTCCCCCAGTGGGAGTGCACTGACCACCAGGGGAGAAGCTCCAGCATTGAGCGTCTGCCCCCTGGTGGTCAGTGCACATCATAGCAACCAGTTGTTCTGCTGTTCAGTTGATTTGCATATTAGGGTTTTATTATGTAGGATTGGACATTTATTTACTCAAAACTTGGGTTGCAGTAACATCGATCAGCTGCCTCCTGCACATCTCCCACTGGGGATGTGCCCGCAACCCAGGTACATGCCCTTGGCCGGAATCGAACCCGGGACCCTTCAGTCCATAGGCCGACGCTCTATCCACTGAGCCAAACCGGTCTCGGCATCTGTTTCTTGTTAAGCAGACGAAGTAGTCCTCCCAGGCAGTGGGTGGTGGCCAGGTGATCGGGCATTTCTTGTGATTCTAAGCGTAGAGCTGCCGTGTGACAGCACAGGTACCATCCCCGCCTCCTGACACTATATGGGACCATTCACTCTGCTCCCCTGGGGGTAGCATTTGTCCTGGACCACCTGGTGGGACCCGGGGCAGTTGTCATTGTGGGGCATGATGTATTATCAACATACTAGAGGCCCAGTGCACAACATTCATGCACTGGGGTGGGGGGGAGGGGACCCCTTGGTGGATCTCCCCCGAGGGGCCCTTAGGGCTGCCCCGGAGCCAGGGCTCCCACCACCACCACCACCACCACCACCACAGTGCTTGCCAGCTGTGATCCCAGCTTTTGGCTGAGCAGCCCTCCCCCAGTGGGAGTGCACTGACCACCAGGGGAGAAGCTCCAGCATTGAGCGTCTGCCCCCTGGTGGTCAGTGCACATCATAGCAACCAGTTGTTCTGCTGTTCAGTTGATTTGCATATTAGGGTTTTATTATGTAGGATTGGACTTGGGGTCTTTTGGGGTTGTCATCCAGGCTGATAACTGCTAACATCCATCCCTATGTGACATGGCATTTGATCCCCTGGGACAAGCAAGGCTCCGCAGTCTCTCATACTGCTATTCTGTGTTCCTGCTGCTTGGCCCAACCAGTGATTGAAAGTTTCCCTAAAAGAGGCATTAACATTTATAGCAAGTAGTTGGTCATTATAATTTCTCTTAAAACCATTCCTTTTGTCAGCTTGAGAATATTAAATGTTTCAACCCATACTCAGTAAGAAAATAGTTAAAGTACATTTCACAATGCAGTTTGTCTCAATAGACTTGTGATAAAACGGCCGCTCTTAATGGTATGAAGGCTGACATGCATGAATCACAAGTGGGGGAGGGCCTTCAGTTCAGCCTCCACCCTGTGGGCGCCCACCAGCCTCCCCTATGGCATCACTGTGGTTTGTGGCATTTCTGTGCCCTCTCTGTGTCCTCGCCCTGGTCCCTTCTTTACCTCCTGGAGCCCCAGACCCTGTGCTTCCTGGTTAGTTCCCTTGTTTCTCAGTTTCTCAGGCTCAGGGCATGTGGAACCAGGGGGAGGGGGAGGGGGCG